TTTTTTTGGAATTTTCGTTCCATGATGGATCAAAAGCAAATCGGTAAATGAATATGTTTAAATTTAGATTATTTGATATTGTATTTTTGATTTATGTTTTTATTTTTTTAAAGGTATTCGTCAACATCATTGTAGAAACTGTGGAAAAGCTATTTGTGACAATTGTTCCAGTAATCGTGTAAATATTCCTATTATGGGATTTGAATTTGATGTGCGTTGCTGTAATCCTTGTTACAATCAATTGCAAACTGTTGAGTATGTTTAATTATTCTTCAAATTAATTTTTGTTATTCAATTGTTTCGTAGACGTCCTTCATTAGCCTCATTTCATGATGCGAAACATTCGATTGTTTTTATGGATTTGGACGAGGGACGCAAGCGGTTACTTACCGTTGGGCAAGATCGCGTAATCAAAGTGTGGGATTTGTCCACGATTTGGGCCTAATATCGTATTTGGCTGTCATTATTAGTAAAACTGGAGGTAAATTCATTTTAATTTGACTTAACTTTAAAGGACAAGTAGGAATCATTTTTTTGCTTTAATATACTGAATATTTTCTAAATTGTTATATAACTAATTTCTTAAGACTTTGTACTGCAATCATCTAGTTGTATAGTTAAACGAAAGTAACTGTACAGGAAAAGTGTGTTTGAGAAAAAGAATTAAATTTAATTCGGGAGTAAAACTAATTTACAAAACTACATCATGTCGCTTTTTTGGGAAAAGAAACATGTATGAAATCTTCAACAACAAATATCAATTTCCTGCAACTCCTCATACATGTCGAATTACTTTTGCTCTACAGTCTAATTGTTTTGATGTATTGGGAAGATATCCGTTGACAAATAGTGTTACACTATTTAAAATTACAAAAAGATGTTCGTTCGCCTTTTTGTTATCAAAAAAATTATGAATATTTTAGAAATTTTCCCATACCTTTACATTATTTCTATAATGAATTTTTGCTTATTTTGTTAATCTTAATGAGAAACAAAACTATTTTGTATTTATATGTAAAATGTATACGTACGTTAACAATTGTAATAAAATTAAAACAATTGTCATTGGTTAATAAAAGCTGTGTGTATTTTTGTCATTTCCAATAATTGCTGATGATTATATTTCTTTCCAATCGATTATTCAATTATAGAGACTTCCACATCTCTGATGCGTTCGGCTTTGGAACGTAAAAGGAGCCAAAGACAGCTTTTCAACCAAATGGCCCAGAACGATTTGGAAGCACGAAGTAGTTGCGTTTTGAAAAGGAATGATTATTACTTAAGTTTTTCTAATCATCGTTAGCTTTTTCCAAATTTGTGATGCCCGAAATTCGAATTGGTTACGTGGGTACACTAGACTGTTTTTAGCGAAACTGTTAGTAAAATTAACAACAACGCTTTTTGTTGAGACTTGCACTTAGGTAGAAATTCAATTCTCTTTAACATCAGGAATTATTTGCAAATAATTCGAAATTTATTCCAGGAAGAAGATGTTTGGGCACAATTATATATATATATATATATATACGTATATATACATATATATATTTTGTTGTCGTGTTTTTCTAATAAATAATTGGTGAAGATTCTATTGATACCAAAAACAGATGAAATCAGATGTGTTTTTCCAATACAAATTGTCGCGTCGTAGTTTGTGGTCACCATGACATTTAAAACAGATATATCGATTTGTGCAGTCGCGGAGGTAATAAGCTTCTACACTTATAACGTAATACAACCTCTGCATCTTCATATATCCGAGATTTTTCCCAACCGACGCACAATTTGTCTTCAGCTATAATCCTGGGGAACGACGCATAATCCGTCTCAATAGCCGGGGTAATGGGCTTTTCTCTGCTTCATCACCGTATTAGACCTCACTATTCGCAGCTTGCTTGTTACAATGTTTGATTTTTCTCAAATATTAGAAAATGAAGGCAGTTGACATTCGCTGTGGAACATTTATTTTTATATTTGATAAAAAGTACTTAAAGTCAAATATGCCACTGACAAGCTTAAAGGTATGCTTAACATCTGCTTTCTAAAGTCTGTACCGTTATGAATGCTGAACTCTTTCTATATGGTGGAAGGCGGATGAGTGAAGCAGAACATTAGAAAGTGTTTACGGTAACTTTGTATTATTTCTGGTAAACGTTATCCTGGTAGCGTTTCAAAATTTTGTACTCGAATATTATTTACTACAGTATAGTGTAATTTGTACTGGAATTTATTATCCTACAGTATAGTCTATTTTGTACTAGAATATATTATACTATAGTAGAGTATAGTATATGTACATTGTACTAGTATACATTGTACTATACTGGAGCATAGTATAGTGTATATAATGTGCTATATTATATTATACTATACTAGTACTATACTATACTATACTTACACCCATTTTTCGCTAACATACCAACTTAAAAAAAATTGTTAAAAATACTTCCCGAAAGAAGAGGTTCAATTTTTTTTTTGCTCATTCGACAGGTACTTTTGCATAGATTTACGTGATTTAGGTGAATATAGGTGACACGAGAGTGTGAGTGAGTGAGTGGGATAATAAAAGGAAAGAAGGGTTAGCACACGAAAGCTTTCATTAATTTCTTTCTTATTAACCTATTATCCTGTAATCGGACGTATAAGAAGAGAAGGAAGAAAATAGAAGAAATTAAAATTGTAATCTTCTTATT